TTTGAACCAGAATTTTCTGTAAGTGGGACTGTTGCTACTAGCTTTACCTTAATCTTCAGTGGAATGCTTCATATATTTTTTAACCAAAAGCTTGGTTTTCAAGTTTTCTCCCCCACCACCCTTCTGTCGTAAGGTGATTTTGGGGGATTTACCACATTCTGGGCATGGCTGACATTTTTACTGACAGGTTTTGGTTATGAATGTCTATGTTTGCATTCTAAAACTGGGGAGAGCTTAGAAGGGCTAGACTTGGTACCATTGCTGTCATTAGTTTTAGAGGAGGTGAACTTGGTTGCTTCATGTTTCATTCCAGTAACCGAGATTCATATGACATTTCAACTGTTTCAGTTGCTTGAAATCTCATCCAATTAAAATTTGAGTCTATAGCCCAAGATTCTGTGTCTAAAGATAGTTATAAATGTCCCCAGTCTCCTGTTACCGCTCAGTCTCAGATTGTCAGGGTATTTTTAGGTGCATCAGCTGCTTTGCTGCTCTGAGCTGCCTCTGGTGCCTGTAGTGGCCATTCCCTGCAGCTGCCCTGCTGAACCCATCCCAGTGCTGCTGACCAGAGCTAGGAATTTCTGTTTCGTGGGATCTCTGGTTCCCTCAGAACTGTAGCAGAACTGTCTGATAACTTCTAAACCATTCCTTTCTGTCTCCAGGGATTTTTGAAATTAAGGTTTTGCCTCCCCAGAATAGGAGTAGAATCTCCAGAGCTTTGCAGTAGCTAAAGATCCTTCACATGTAGCTGGTTCTTTCAAGAGCTCTCCTACCACAGAGCCCCATTAATCAAGTGGGGGTCCCACAGAATGCTCCTACCCTCTGGAATTAATATTTTACTTGAATTGAATGCATGTTACTTTGAATATATGTACTGTTTTAGTGAAGGGATTTCATGGGAGATTGCTCCTGAATTACTCAGACATATTTCATTTTGAGTTATACATTTCCAATATAGCTTGGCATCACAAGAGGACAGCGTGCTGCTATATATTTCATGAATGATTTACAAGGGCATGATTTTATATATGTATTTATATAGGGATATAAAAACCGCCCGTGAAAAAATATTTAACTTTTTTTTTTATTTTTTTTATTTTTTTTATCAGGTGCTATTTCAAGTGGTTTTAGGCTGGAAGATTCTCCGTTTGTTCCTTACGACTTTCTGAACAGCAGTAATTCGCCAGCCAGTCCTCCCGGATCCATTGGGGACGGCTGGCCCCGTGCCAAATCGCCTAATGGCTCTAGCAGTGTTAATTGGCCCCCAGGTACAGCCCTCCCTGCCCTGCCTGCCTCTGTCCTGCACTCTGCAGTGCTGCCTGTGCTCGGGGCAGCAGCCCTGCACAACCAGGGTGTTCTCAGCACAGGGAAATGGAGAGCGGGAGGTTTATTGCACAGAGAGAAGTGTATCTGCCAGAGAAACCAGAAATTAAATGAGTAAAGTGATGGCTGAATCAAGTTAATTAAATGCTTAAAAGGTTTCGGATTTTCAGTCATTAGGAGATGTATTGTTTAGACAGCTGTTTCCTTTTTAAAAATATAGTGCAAATAAGCTTCTTTCCTGCATCTGTATTCCTAGAGTTTCGCCCTGGTGAGCCATGGAAAGGTTATCCAAACATCGACCCCGAAACTGACCCTTACGTCACTCCTGGCAGTGTCATAAACAATCTCTCAATTAATACTGTGCGGGAAGTTGACCACCTCAGGGACAGGAACAGTGGTATGCTCAGCCTGGCTGGGAATTGTGTGTAACCTTCCCTCAGCCACATTCTCGTGGAGATGTTTGCTGCTTGCTCCCCTCCTGCTTTATCCCTCGTGTTTCCTCCTTGCTCCCCTCCTGGTTATTCCCCTGTGTTTGCTCCTTGCTGCCCTTGTGTTGTGGATTTGGGATGTGTTTGCTGTTTGCTCCTCTCCTGGTTTATCCCTCGTGCTGTGCCTGTCAGGGCTGGGAGCTGATCCTTGGCTCAGCCCTGCTGCTGATGCAGTGCAGGAGCTGTCCCAGGAATGTGGGCTGTGCTCTGCACCCTGATGTCAGCTGTGCACACCCAGGCCTTTGGGAGCAGCAGAGCCGTGCAGGAGGGCAGGGGCTGTGCTCCTGCTGCCACCAGGAGCCCGTGGGCTGAGGATGGGGCTGGGGGCTCTGTGTCCCTGCCCTGAGTGCAGACAGGTTCAGGCTGGAGCACAAGCCAAGCCCGTTCATCCTCCTGCATTTGTGACATGCTGTGCTGTGTCTGACTCTGGTCTTTGTTGCAGGGTCATCCTCATCTTTGAACACCACGCTGCCTTCAACTAGTGCCTGGTCATCCATTCGTGCCTCCAACTACAATGTTTCCCTCAGCAGTACAGCACAAAGCACTTCAGGTGATGTCTGCTTGTATTGCTCCGGTTCCTTCCCCTTCACATGCTCCAGGGGGATCCTAGATGTTAATAAAAGTAGTGCTGAGGTCTCATCAGTGTGGTAACTTCACTGATTTCAAAGCAGTTACTTTGATTTTACCCT